CAAACAACATTAAATTTGTTATTTTTCTTGGACAGTCAACGTTTCGCTTTACAGCTTCTTCAGGAGCGTTCCACTAAAACTGTAACAAACTATAGTTTAACTTTGCCAAGGTAAAAATCATTGTTATGAAAGAATGTCAATCCTTCACTCAGTTTACTGTTACGAAAATCAGTCATCTGACAATCAGTCATACCCTATGTTCGTACGTAAACATTTAGTAAAAGCTCGTTTGAGATCTTTAACTCTTTTAATATTTCATTTCAGGGTGAATTTTGATCATTACTTCGTGGCAAGATATCGTGGCAACTAAAATCATAATGACAGTGCTGGTGAGGTCTTGCGTTATCGTCAACTAATCCTTTGAAATATTTGTTTTTAGAACATATATAATGTCTGGAATTATTTGATGCGGTGAAGCTCCCAAGAGCGCTCTATACACGCTTGAACGAATTGAAGTCTGGTGATTGTGTATATCATTACATTGAGTCGATTCTATGTGTTTTAACGTATCTATCAAAGTTTAACATTGTTAGCGTAAGCATTCATCACCCTTCAGTCAAAGTCAAAGAAACCAACATATAGCAGCACAAAGGAACATGGGGCGTGATCCATCTAATGTTGGACTTCATCAGTAGAACATTTAGCATATTCTATCGTCAAAGCGTTAAATATGAAGGTCTGTTTAAACATTGCATTTAAGGATTTGCTATTAATTTGTAAAGCTTAATTTGATTTACTATGCTCTAACGTAATTCAGAAACGTAATTCAAAATCTGAAAATTTGTTCTATGTTACTCCCGAGAAGTCTATATTTTTGCTTTCTTTTTATTGATTACTTTTGTTGTCCCCTGGTGGCTCAGCGGTAAGTGAGGACTTATAACAGTAAAAATCGGGTTTCGAACGAATAATTAATTTTCGTGAAGAAGTTAAAAGGCAAGTTTTCTCAATACAATCAAGAAAAAGGAAAGGAGAAAAGAAAATGTTTCGGGAGTAAGGTAAAACCAATCTTTAGATTTTAACTTAATAAATTTCATTTAAAAATATTCAAAACAATTATATGTAACAATTCATTCATTTTATGTTTGAATGCTGCTGAAGAATAGTCAATACAGTTATTGTTTAACTAACCCTTTCTCACTTTTCGATAAATACTAAAAAACTATTGAGTTCCACGTAGTTGAATGGCTGTAAAATTATGAAATACCTTGATTTAATTACACCACCCATTATATTATTACAATTTCTTTTTCAAATATCAAACACTTAGATACACAGTTACTTGTAATATAAAATACTGTGAGAGATAAATAGCATTAAAATATATTTGAGTATGATTATTAATTTATATTGATTTCTAGTTTCAGTACAATGAGTTCCAAAGTTAACTGCTGGAGGTTAAGATAATTGTGAAATTTAATTAGAATTAAAGTGTCCACTCTCGATCAATTAGGTGTAGAAAATATGTGATAATTATTGTAATTAATCACACCTTTATAGACAGTTTATCATTATTGAAAATCATTCTTCTCCAATTCATTAATAAAATAAAATATGTGAAAACAAGTTTGAAAATAATTTTGCGTTTGTTTGCGAATGGGTTTAACACATTCTGACGACAATATTGTAGAGTTTAATGCGAAAGGATCATTGACTTTTAATATATATTTTTTTCTTTATGCTTAAGTATTTTAAGTAATAAAGTAATAAAAATTACAGCAGCTAATTTATCTAACCATGACAAATCCAAAAGAAGCTCTAAAGGTCTTATATATCTATACAATCTTGTTAAGTAACAAATATTTCAACAACAAATATTAAGTCAAAACTAGAATTACCGCCATAACTATTAAGAAGACTTGAATGGTGCAAAATTGCTGTGGTAGGACTTGCAGTTGTTACAAATTTAAATTCAAAGTATCTGATTCTTAGGGCGAAAAAGATCGTGGACGGTAATACTTTCGTATCGCCTGAAGTTTGGTCAGTTTAACCTCTTTTACAGACTCAAAAACTAGTAGCTCGTGAGTTAATTAAAGTAACAATAAACATCAGACCTAAATACGATTAAAATTATTCATCAAGCTTAATAACACTATAAGATATTTACTAAACTACATCACTGACTGTTACATCATGTTAATTTTTATAATTATCAAAATATAAGTACATTATACTTAAACTAAACGCTATTAAAATTTATGGCAAGTAGATAGAATAAATCAAATGAAGCTAGTTTGATCCTAAAATTCTTTTAGATTCATTTAAATTCAAACATCAAGAATCATGCATAGAATGAGTTAACCCGAGATTGAATGAGTAAAATAGTGCAGAGTGTTTATTATTAAGTAATGGTCAAGTGTTTATGACGTTATTTATTTTCCTGATGAAGTTGTTTATAGTGAGGTAAATAAACTTACATAAATTCATTGGAAAAAATTAAGAACGAAACAATTATTTCAGATTCAAGACTTGTAACAATCAAATATGAAACAAATATTAATACTCGAGACATGTATGATTCATTTGTGGTTCCCAACTTAATCTGTTGAAAACATCGTCTACTATAATTTGGTTATAAATATGACACTAATAGTTAAAAATGGATAAACGTTTA